ACTGGGTGTTATACGCAAACAATGAACCATGGAACACTACATCAAAAACTAATGATGTAATATATGGTGAGTAACATAACATAATAATAAAAAATAAATAAAGGGGTGCTCTGGTCAGCTCTGAGCTGGGTCATACAGAGAGGAGGCAAATCTGACGGGTCTGAGAGACAACGGTGGGGATACATCCACACCCACTCATAGGCACAGAGCTGAAATGGGAAGTGGGAATGTGAAAGGAAAAGACGCAGGGGCGTGAAGAGGAAAATAAGACAAGAGACATGGCTCACAAGACAGTTCGAAGAGCTCACTGGGCCCCAGCCAGTGGAGCCAAAAAGGAGGAAGCAGGGGCGGTCAGCCAATGCAAACTTGCTAAGAGCCTGCTCTACACGCAAAGCTCGGGAAATGAGAGAACCCTAAGAAACTGCCCCCCACTGTCATGGGAAGCCTAAGGACCATTTTGGGGGTCAACACACATGAAACAACCAAGGATGCATTTATATAAAGACAGATTAGGGGCGCCTGGGTGGCTCAGTAGGTTAAGTGACTGCCTTCGGCTCAGGTCATGATCCTGGAGTCCCGGGATCGAGTCTCGCGTCGGGCTCCTTGCTCGGCGAGGAGTCTGCTTCTCCCTCTGACCCTCCTGTCCCCGCTCTCATGCTCTCTCTCTCTATCTCATTCTCTCTCTCAAATAAATAAAAAAAATATTAAAAAAAAAAAAGACAGATTAGCAAAGGCCGCTCAATACAGAGGCCCACTTTTGCCTCTACCTGCCATTGTTGGGGAATAGAGTGTAGCACCTAAATGAATTTTCCAGATCGCTTGAAGCCAAACCATTCAAGTGCAAAAAAAATGTATTTAATTTGCTTAATTGGGAAATAAATTTTCCCAAAATAGATTATACACTTCCCTGCCTTCTTATAACAGACACTGCAAATCATAACATAATCTCTTCTTGATGACTCGGGCACATCAAAATGAATATACATTATTCTATAATTTCATAATGCCCAGTGGTTAGCCAATTCAATTTAACACATCAGCTATGTGCCAGGCACCCTGAAAGATGCAGAGGACCTGGTCTCTGCCCCCAAGCCCTGCCAGATTTCCAGTCATTCTGCCTCCCCTCCTTCACTGCTCCTGCTGAGTTTGCGGCTGCTGGGGGGTTTACCGGGGACACAGTAGGCCTCATGCTGAGGATGGGGGAACTGGGAGCAAGTGAGGACTCTCCACAAAGAAAAGGCAGCCCCGGGGCATTTCCACAGATAGGGTTACCAACTGTCCCAGGCAAACCAGGACAGTCCCGATTTTAGATAAAGAAGA